TTTAACTTTATTATTATTATTTTCCAGTTTGATCAGAGAGAGACAGAGAAAAAGAGAAGGAAAGTGAGAAAGCAAGCCACCAGGTCTGGGACTTGAACTGCAGGTGGGCACGTGGGAGTCCAACATTAACCACCACACCACTTGCCGGCCTCTGAAATTCAAAAGGAAGTAATCACTTAAATTCATTTTATGAAGTCTCCTATCACCTTGATTCCAAAAGTGAACAGGAACATAACAACAACAACAAAAAACTACAGACCATTATCTCTAATGAATACTGATCCAAACATTTTCAACAAGATACTAGCAAATCAAATTCAGCATCATATTAAGGAGATTATACACTATCAGACCATTAAGTGCTATAGTGGTTAAGGCACTAGACCCCCGCACATGGCCAATCGTGGTTCAGTTGCCGTACCCAGTGATTTGAAACTCAGGCCAGATGCATGTGTGTGCACCTGCACACACCCTATAGCAAAAAATCTCTCTTAAAAGAAGAAAAGAAAGATGATATACCTTGATCAAGTAGGCTTTATCCCAGGATTCAAGGATGGTTAAATGTATGCAAAGTAATACATTAATACTACATTAACAGAAAGATAAAAATCATGCGATCAGGGCAGGCAGTTAGCATGGTGATTAAGGGCATTGGACTCCCACATGGCCTTAATCACCAGGTCCTCGACCTGGTGGCTTGCTTTCTTGCCTTTTCTGTCTCTCTCTTTCTACTTCTCTGGTCAAGTTAAAATAAATAAGTAAATAAATAAAGTTAAATAAAATAATTCTTAATAAAAGAAAAAAATCATATGATCATATCTCTTTCTTTTTTTAAAATAGTTATTTTTTTAAAAATTATTTATTATTTTTTCACATGAGTTTTGCCAGAGGAAGAGAGACAGAGGGAGGGAGAGGGAGAAAGCAAGCCACCAAGTTTGGGACTCGAACCGTGGACAGCCTTGTGGGAATTCCAGCACCTTAACCACCATGCCACCTGCTGGGCCCAAAATCATATGATCATATCTATAGATGTAGAAAACGGTTTTGATAAAATACAGCATTCCTTCATGATCAAGACTCTCACCAAAATAGGGACAAAAAGCTTATTTTTCAGCACAGTAAAATCCATATATGCCTGTTCTCTCATTGAAAACGTCATACTGAATGGGAAAAAGTTAAAAGCCTTCCTACTAAACGTTGGAATGAGAGAAAGCTGCCCATTTTTTCCACTCTTTTTCAACATAGTGCTGGAAAGTCCTAGCCGATGTAGTGAGACAAGAGAGCAAGATAAAATGCATTGAAATAGGACAAGAAGAAGGTAAATTGTCCTTATTTGCCGAGGATATGTTTATATACAAAGGAATCCATGAAAACGCCTAGAAGTGATAAATGAATTCAGTAAAGTAGCAGGATACAGAGTCAATATACAGAATTCTATAGTATTTTTATACAATAGCAATGAACAGACCAAGATGGAACTTAAGAAGTAATTCCATTTATAGAAGCTACAAAATTAGTAAGATACCTAGGAGTAAACTTAACCAGAGGTCAAAGACCTCTACAAGGAAAACTATGAAAAACTGAAAAAAGAAATTGAGTATAGTACCAAAAAAAAAGGACATCTGTCGAAGATTTTGGATTGGAAAAACCAGTCTAATCAAAATGTTGGTTATATCCAAATTAATTTTCCTATTTATTGTGATTTTGACTTAATTTACCCGAGACATTCTTCACAGAAATAGAAAAAGAAAATCTATCAAATTTGTCTGCAATAATAAGAGAACCCATATTGCCAATGCAGTACTGTGTAAAAAGAATGAAATAGGAGGCATCTCACTACTTGGCTTTAGAATATATTACAAAGAGGTGATAATTGAAACAGCAGGGTACTGGCATAGAAATAGACCCAGAAGCTCAATGGGACAGAGTAGAGAATCCAGAAGTAAACCTCAAGTCATACAGCCAGCTGATCATTGACAGAGGGTACATGACAATGCAGTGGAGAAAAGAAAGTCTTATCAGCAAATGGTACTGGAAGAACTGGATATTCACTTTTAGAAAAATGAAACTGGACCCCTTTCACCATTAACAAGTATCAACTCAGAATGGATTTAAGATTTAAATATAAAGCCTCAAAACTATGAAACTACTAGTAGAAAATATAGGGGATGGGAACCAGCAGTTAGCGTAATGGCTATGTTGCTGGACTCCCACTTAGTCGACCACGGTTCATGTCCTGGACCCGGTGGCTTCAAACTCACGCCAGGCGCGTGTGCGTTTGTGCCCAAGATCCCAGGAGGAGAATGGAGGAGAAGGGATTGCGGCATGACCATCCCCCCTGGTGGGTGATTTCTCGCTTTCTGTCTCTCTGTCTCTCTCTGTCTGTCTGGCGAGCGCACACGCCCTATAGCGAAAATCTCTCCGAAAAAAAAATATAAGGGAAACTTGAAGATCTTGGAGTAGGCAAAGATTTTTTTAATAAGCCTTAAAGCATAGGTAGTCGTCCCCAAAATAGACAAGTGGGATTACATTAAGCTAAAAAGTTTTCTCTCAGCAAAGGAAAACATTAATTAGAGGGAAAAGACAACCCTCTGAATTGGAAAGAATATTTGCAAACTATTCTGCAGACAAGGAATTGATATTTAGAATATATAGGGAATTTATACAGCTTGCTCATTAAAAAAATGAATAATCCTATTTATTTATTTTGCGAGTATCTGTCTTTTTTTCTTTTTTTGGAGAGGTTTTTTGTTATATGGCGTGTGTGCTCATTAGAAAGAGAGAAACAGAGGGACAGAAAGCGAGAAATCGCCCTCCCCAGTGAGGATGGCCATGCCGCAGTCCCTTCTCCTCCATTCTCCTCTCGGGATCTTGGGCACAAATGCACACGTGCCGGCGTGACTTTAAGCCACCAGATCTGGGACTTGAACCATGGTGAACTACATGGGAGTCCAGCAACATAGCCATTATGCCAACTGCTGGTCCCTGGGGCGTGTTTTTCATGCCACTGTGTTTGGTATGTTTTTCAGGACACGTGAACTGTGGTTGGCCATGTGATTTCTGGCTCCTTAGACATTAGGCTGGGGGACTGTGCCTATCACAACACCTTTAAGTCCTTTTTTTTTTTACTTTATTATTTGTTTATTTATTTATTTCAGTTTGCCCAGAGAGGGACAGAGTGAGAGAGTGAGAGAGAGAGAGAGCGCTAGCTCCCAGGAGGATAGCTATACCATAATACCTTTTCTTCCATTCTCTTCTTGGGATTTTGAGAATTTTTGTTTTTTTCTTTTGAGAGATTTTTGCTATAGGGTGCATGTGCTTGCTGAAGAGACAGAGACAGAGAGAGAGACAGAACATGAGAAAACATTCCCTGGGGGGGGTGGGGGGTATGGCCATGCCACAGTCCTTTTGCCTCCATTCTCCTCTCAGGATCTTGGGCATGCACACACATGTACCTGGTGTGAGTTCAAGCCACTGGGTCTGGACTTGAATCGCGGTTGACCATGTGGGAGTCCATTGCCTTAACTACTTTTCCACCTGCTGGCCCTGTGGGCATGTTTTTAAGCTGCAGGGTCCAGGAATCAAACTGTGCTGTCAGCTGTATGGGATCCAGTTACCTTAACCAGTATCTCACTGGCTGGTCTTATTTGTTTGTTTATTTACTTGCTCGTTTTTGATTGTCACAATCTCTATTGAAAGTCTTCAACTCTGTTAAAAAATAGTGGTGAGGCCATGTGGCCAACTGTGGTTCAAGTTTCAGACCTGGAAGTTTACTTTCTCACCTTTCCTTCTCCCCCCCACCACATCTGGTGAGCACATGTGCCCTATACCAAATAAAAATAATAGTAATAATGACAATAAATAAAATTAATTTTTTTTTAGAGATTTTTGTTATAAGGCACATGCACTTGCCAGAGAGACAGAGACAGAAAGCAAGAAATTACCTCTGGGGGTGATGGCTATACCACAGTTCCTTGTGATCTTGGGCATGCTCACACATGTACCCAGTATGAATTTTGTTTTATTTTTAAATAATTATTTTTTTATTTGCTATTGTTATTATGATTTAATTTGACCAGAGAAAGAGAGAAAGGGAAAGTGAAAAAGCAAGCCACGAGGTCCAGGCCTCAAACCATCATCAGCCATGTGGGAGTCAGTACCTTAACTATTGCACCACCTGCCGGCCCTGGGCCCAGTATGAGTTTTAAACTGCTGTGTCCAGGACTCGAACCACAGTCATCTACCTGGGAGTCCAGCTACATAACCATTCCACCATCTGCTGGTCCCTAAAATTAAATCATTCTTAAAAAATAAAAAGAATGAAACCTTAGGAGAATTTTAGGCAGGAGAGAAGACCATTCCTCTGTGCTTCAGTTGGAGCCTCAGTTGTCCATAAGCAGAGCGGAATTATGAGAGACATTATTGCTCAGTGGAAATGACTTCTCTAAAGACCAGAGTTTAGCAAAGCATTTATACCATTTTGATGGAAATATTTCTAAACTGTCTTATTATGAGAAAATACACTCTACCTGTTCTATACTGAACTGAACACATTTTAAATGTTTCTGGTGGGCTCAGGGGTTACAATTCTGTTTATAATAATTGTTACATTGATGATCTTAGCATTGATTGAATTGTTAATGGAAACTGCCCTTCACCAAACACTTCCACATGGCTCTCAATTCTGAGGCCTTGTTTGCAGAGGCAGGCACATTTGTGGATATCCTTCTGCATGGCTGTATTCATACCTCTCTTCTGCTTCTACTACTCCCTTATTATTTTGCCCTAAGTTGCTGTGGGGCGAAGATGTCAAAAATAACTAGAGATTGCTCAGATAAAAGAAGAGTAAACTGAGTTTGCATAAGACCTGAGTGGATCTCTTAGGAGTGTGTATGTTGACCTTTAGTACATAAATATTATGTAGCTTTTCACTGGGTAAATGAAACTGTTGGGTAAGTGGGATTATCTGACATGTGAAGTATTTCCCCCTTTTTAAACAGAGAAGAAGACACAGAAAATGAAAATGAAAAGAAAATTTGGTACTACAGCACAAAGGTCCAGCTTGCGGAATTAATCGATTGTTTAGATAAAGATTATTGGGAAGCAGAACTTTGTAAAGTTTTAGAAGAAATGCGTGAAGAAATCCACCGGCATATGGACATCACCGAAGACCTGACCAATAAGGCTCGAGGCAGTAACAAATCCTTTCTGGCGGCAGCTAACGGTGAGAGGGGCATTTTCTCTCTCTTTTTTTGTTTGTTAAATTTGAGATAAATGCTTAGTATGAAGTGTTATATAAATGCTTCATGATAAAATTTGAAAATACATTAAAAATGTTAAGTATGTATATTTTACTTTCATTTTTATAAGGAATTTTTTTGGGGGGAGTATGAGATTTTTGCTATAGGGCACATATGCTCACTGGAGTGACAGAAAGAGAGAAGTCACCCCCCAGGGGGGATGGCCCTGCTGCAATTCCTTCTCCCAGGGTTTTCGGCACACACACAAATGCACCTGGCATGAGTTTTAAGCCACTGGGTTTGGGACTCAAACCACAGGCGACTACATGGGAGTCCAGTGATGTAACCGTTATTCCATCTGCTGATCCCAGTTGTCAGGTATTTTCTGTTAATAAAATACCCTCAACAAGGACTTTCTCGTGTTCCTCTCATGGATATCATGAGGTTATGGATTTTTGGGAGGGAGAGACTACAGAGCTGATGTGCCCGTCTTGTCACATCGAGAGTACATGCCATCACCATGCCTTATCACTGATGATATGAACCTTCATCACCTGGTTGAGATAGTGCTCGTCAGGTTCCCCCTCTTCTGTAGTCCCTAAAAGCGTGCTTTTCGGAAGGAAGTCGCTTTATACAGCCCACAGTAAGGAGAGGGAAGTTGTGCTCTGCCTCCTTGTGGGGCATTAACTACATAAATCATTTGGAATTGTTTTTGCACAGGAGGTTTATCTATTCTCTGTTTATTCAGTTATTTTTTCTATTAGTTGGATCGATAATTATTTTATACTTTAGATTATATGTTGCTTAACTCTTTTTATTCTTTGTGGATTAAAAAATAATAAATACATGTTTTAAAAATGCTTTAAATAGGAACCCAAAGGTGGTGTAGTAAATGTTCTCAGTAGCCATTGCTAGAGCAGCCCACGGAAGCCCATTTCTGCCCGCGTCTAAAGGTCACACCATGTTTTCGCAGATTGCCACTTTCCACATAAAATGAATGAAAAATAAAAATCTCACACATTCCTAATCCCCAGTCTCCCCCCACCCAGAGGCAGTCTTTACTGTAATTTTTAATTGTTTATTCTGACAGATATAGTCTGTGTATGTTTAAAAATTATCACCTGTGTTGTGTTGTGTGTGTGTGTGTGTGTGTTTTAACTAAGTGAATACGACTTAAAAAAAAAAAAAATTGGCCAGAGGGTGCATGTACTCACCAGAGAGAGAGAAAGAGAGAGAGAAAGTAAGAAACCACCCCCATGGAGAATGGTCATGCCTAAGTCCCTTCCCCATTTCTTTCTCCTTTTGGGATTTTGGGCACTGGATCCCACATGACTGACTGGTTCACATCCTGGACCTAATGGTCCAGCTGGCAGTTGAAGATCAGGATATAATTATGTCTGAAAGTGAGGATTAATGTGTCTTGCAGAAAAACAGGTAGTTGGTAACTATGCTTTCTTCTTCCAAATGAGAAGTTCTTTAAAAATAATGACTGGGGCACTCTCGTTGATGGCTTTCATGTACTTAGCCAGAGTAAAGGAAGCTTGGATAAATCAACTCCAAGGCAGTCTGTATAGGGTCACTTGTGTGGCACAGTGGTAAGGCACTCGCTGCTCAAGAGAAGCAGGATTCCACATGCTGACCTCAGTTTGAATCCCCTGCCTGGTCACCCTGAAACCTGCTGGGCATGGACATGAGTGCTTTAGACCCACAGGCTGGAGGGCTGCAAGAAGGGGGTTATGGCATGACCAGACCCTGTGAGTGGCACTCCTCTCGCTCGTGCTCTCTTTTGCTGTCGCTCTCACACTCTTAAGCTCCATTATGCACAAACATGTGCTCTGTAATGAGTAAAGAGAAAAGGGCAGTCTATGTAGGTAGGTAAAAGGATGCAAGGAAATAATGTAACAGGGATCCTGGGCTGACTTGGATAATGAAGAGGACAGAAAATATGCTGGTTACAGTTCTTCAATTTGGGGGCCAGCAGATGGCATAGCGGTTATGTTGCTGAACTCTTAGATGGCTATCTGCAGTTTAAGTTCTGGACCCAGTGGGCTTGAAACTTATGTGGGGTGCATTTGCATATGTGCCCAAGATCCCGGAAGGAGAATGAAGGAAAAGGGATTGTGGCATGGCCATTGCCCCGCCGGGTGATTTCTTACTTTGCCTCTCACTATCTCCTCCCTCCCCCCATCCCTCCGCAAGTGTATGCACTCCAAGGCCAAAACCTCTTTAAAAAAAAAATTCAGTTGGAAATTGTCCTGTAACTGTTTTAGATGTTTCTATAATTATATAATCCAAACTCTTATAGGAATTAGGAGTAGGAATTAACTCCAGCTGGCTCAGATCTTACCACTTTTCTTGGGACCAGCAAGTGGCATAATGGTTATGTCGCTGAACCCCCATGTAATCGACCACGGTTCGAGTTCTGAACTCAGCAGCTTAAAACTCACACTGGGTGCATGTGTGTGTGTGCCCAAAATTCTGAGAGGAGAGTGGAGGAGAAAGGATTGCAGGATGGCCATCTCCAGGGGATGATTTCTCGCTTTCTGTCTCTCTGTCTCTCCAGCGAGTGCACATGCCCTATAGCAAAAATCTTTCATTAAAAAAAAAAAAAAAACAACAAAAAACTTAACATTTTTCCAATAAAGGTCAATATTTTCCGATGATAGCTTAATAAGGTTTTTCTTTGCTGTCTTTTAGAAAATAATTTAAAATTTTATTTATTATTATTTAATTTGACCAGAGCTAGACAGAGAGAGAAAGGGAAAATAAGAAAGCACACCACCAGGTCCTGGACTTGAACTGGAGTCTGGCATGTTGGAGTCCTGCACCTTACCCACCACGGCACCTACTGGCTCCTGTAAGGTTTTTCTAATCCCAGAAAATAGGCTACTTACCTACAAATTAAGAAATATTCATTGGGGCTGGCAGGTGACATGGTGTTTAAGGGCACTGGACTCCCATATGGCTAACTATGGTTTGAGTCCTGGGCCTGGTGGCTTGCTTTCTTACTCCCCCCGACCCCCTCTCACTCTGTCTCTCTCTGGTCAAATTAAAATAAATAAAATAAAGTAAAAAATTTTAAAAATTGATCAAAATGAAGATAGAGAATGGCTAAATAAGAAAATAAAACAAGAAAATGTAAAGAAGGAGATAATGAAGCCCAAACTGCACACTACCTGGACTCCCACAGGGCTAGCCACAGTTTGGGTCCCAGACTCGGTGACTTGCTTTCTCACTTTCCCTCTCTCTGTCTCTCTGTTTCTGGTGAGAACATGAGCCTTATAGCAAATTAAAATAATAATAGAATATAAGATTAAATAAAAGTTCTGCCCCTTTAAATAAAACTTGAGTGAACTACCCACACAGACACACGCAGATGTAGAGGCAGCAATAGTACAAGTGAATATAGACATGGGTTAGTATACTGATTTGGCTTTCCCAGACCTGTTGGTTGAAAGAGCCTAGAAGCAGCAACATCCAAGTAATAACCAGCCCACCTGATATCTAGATTGTGGCTGCTAAGCATCATTTATCAATTTGGGCGAGGGATACGGAAGGACCAGGCCAGTGGGTGGTATAGTCGTTAAAGCACTGGATCCCGCATGGCCAACTCTATTGGTTCAAATCCTGGAACCAGTGGCCTGATAAACATTCTGGGTTTGTGTGCATACATGCCCAAAATCCCGAGAGGAGAATGGAGAAGATGGAATTGCAGCATGGCCATCCCTCTTGGGGAGTGATTTCGTTCTTTCTCTCTGTCTCTCTCTGGCAAGTACATGTGCTCTATAGCAAAAAAAAAAAAAAAAAAAAACTAAAACATAAAGGACCAGGGCTTCTTAAATGGCAGATTTTAGGGCTTGGGCAGGTAACAGATGGAGTGCGCCAGGAGCATCTTGTAATGTTGGAAGTTAGGAAATACGTAATGAATGACTGAAGGAATGAGAGGTGTCAGAGAACAGGGAACTCCAATAAGGCTCTTAGTGGCCCAAATTGGAACAATTTGATCAACAAAATAAAAAATGATAGTATTGAGTTATAAGCCAGAGGATATAACTGATAGTGTTGTGTGCACACTGATAGGTGTCCCCTGTGGTCTGTACCCTGTGGTACTTCCTAGACCCTGTGTTCAGTGCTGGACTTTAGGATCACTGTGCCTAAGTAGGACGAATAGCCCCCTTAGAACTTGGTGACTTTCAGAACAGTTGATAGGACTTCAGAGAGAAAAGTTGTTTCCGAGTGGGCTTCTCATGTTATGATTGGTGAAATAGAGGCCTGGAGAAGGTAGGTAGCTTGCCCAGGGTCACAGAGCTAATTCAAGTTGGAGCTTAGTAGGTCCAGGGTCTCAGGTTCTGATCACTGCACCCTGCCTCCCAGTCTGTCAGCTTCTGCATAGTTTTTGTTACACATATGTCAGAGGATGTAACGGATATCTAAGTTCAGTCTCAGTTTCATGCCCAGCCACAGTAGTATGCACTGGATACTCTCTCTCTCTTTAACATTTATTTATCTGGTTTTTTGGTGTGTTTTTTGGGCCTCTTGGTCTGGGACTTGAACTGTAATTGCCCATGTGGGAGTTCAGCACCTCAACCACCATACTACCTGTTGGTCCCTGGAGAGTTTCTCAGCAGGCTGAGGCCACCTGAAAGGTTCAGGTTGATTCCTGGCCCATTGTAAAAAAGCTCGGCGTGGCAATGCATGCCTGTGGTTCTAGCTGCCCAGGAGGCTGCTGCAGGAAGATCAAGACACAGAGAGACCCTGTCTAAAAAACACCAGCACCACCACACACACCAGAATTTTCAAAAACCATACTAATTTGCTTAAAGAAAGTACGGCTTGTAATTAGCATGTATTTCATAGAAATAATGGTACCCATTTTGGTTGATTTCTCTAAACAAAATTTTGTTAGTAATCTTAGTTCTTCTTTTATAATTCTAATGCTTTTACTATATTTAATTTTTCTTTTTAATAATGTATCATAACTCTTAAATGTCATTTGTACTTTTATGTCTGTTTATATATGGAAATACAATTTTTTATTTGTTTCATTACAGAAGAAATTTTGGAATCCATAAGAGTCAAAAAGGGAGATGTTGATAATGATAAAAACCCAGAAGAAATAGAAAAAGACAAGAATGAGACTGAGGATAATGGCTGTAAAGATGCTGAGAAAAGCAATGAGGAGTGTGAAGACCAGTCCCTTGAAAAAGACAGTGATGTCAAAACACCAGATGATGATCCTGAGCAAGGAAAATCTGAGGGTAAAGAGATATCTTTCATCAGTGTCATTTTTATAAAACTTTCAGTTTTAGTTGTGATTGAAAAGGAAACTTTTTTTTATCACAAACAAGTACTTAATTTTGTATTTGGAAAGAAATTAGAATACCCTGTCCCTAAAATGTGCATAGCAGTTGTAATGAGTTTTATGTATGTGAATTTGCTGTTCTACCAACCTCTCTGTACTTCCTGATAAGCCGCCATTTTTCTGTGTGATTTGTTGGTGAGAAATTACTATTTTTATACCAGAACATATACTACTTATACATACTTACATGTACTTTTATATGTGATGAAATATGTTCACTTTATATTAATTATTTAAACATTCTTAATATATTAAATATTTTAAAATATTCTTTGGATTACCTATTGCAAAATATCCCAGAATCTTATTGCTTTAAAATGGCCATCAACTAGAACCAGGTTTTTTGTGCTTGGTCATTTTAAGCAGTTGATTGAATGTGGCCATTTGTGCTAAAGCAGTTTTAAAGAGTATCTTTAAAGTTTTGTTGTGCATTTTACTATAGAGCCAACAGAAGTTGGGGATAAAGGTAACTCTGTGTCAGCAAATCTTGGCGACAACACAACAAATGCTTCTCCAGAAGAGACTAGTCCCTCTGAGAGGAGGAGCCCTGTGGGGTGTCTCTCAGAAACCCATGATAGCAGCAACATGGCAGAGAAGAAGGTGGCATCTGATCTCCCCCAGGATGTGCCAGGTACAGAGGGCAGTGTATCCATGCCTCTGTAATGGGGGGAATCCTTCCCTTTCGTAGTAAAAGCTGAATGTCACCTAAAACTTTAAAGTGTGTGTCCACTCATGCTGCTCGCTTACAGTGCCATCCCTGATGTGCAAAGTTGTCACCTAACATTTGGAGTTTGATAAATGTTCTTGCAGTTAGTGCTTGAAACTCATCATAATCCTCATGCTTTTTAAACTTCATTGAGCTGTTTTTGTTTAATAGCTTTAATTGTATTTATAGACTAAATTGGCTGATTTTTTATTTTGATTCTTTATGTACTAATGGTGCCATGTTAAATGATTTGACTCTTCTAGCTCAGTATATACTAACAGATTAATTTTATGTTTGCATGTGCTCATGTAGTTTTGACATTTCAAACCATAATGTTGTAGAAAATCACCACAAAACATTTCAACAAGATGTATGTGGACATAAACATATTAAGTTAATCAGTACTTTATATTCTAAACTTTTTTTTAAAAAGAATTATTTTATTTAACTTTACGTATTTATTTATTTATTTTAATTTGACCAGAGAGGGACAGAAAGAGAACAAGAAAGCAAGCCGCCAGGTCTGGGACTCTAACTGTGGTCGGCTATGGGGAGTTCAGCAACCTTGACCACCACCCCACCTGCTGGACTCTATAGTCTAAACTTTTAAACTAAAATTATACACAAACTATATCACACCAAGCATGTTATTATGCCTTTTTGCCTTTTATAAAAATGAAAAAGTTTTACCATAGGAGCTATATGTGTGCTTTACAAAATTCAGATGAGTAAAATAAGAAACATTGATCACCCACCAAAACCCAGAAATTATAGATAATACCACACTGGAAATCCTTAAAGATTCTTTTTAGTTTTTAGAGGATGTGTATGTGCTTGCCATAGAGAATCAGGGAGAAGGAGAGAGAGGAGGAAAAAACACACTCTCAGAACTAGTATTTGGAAGCCTGGCGTTGTAGGTCCACTTCTTTCAGTAAAGTTAATGTCATTTGATCTGTAAGTGTTCCTATTTTGCATCATGAAGGACTTTGACAACTCACACTTGTTCCTGTGGGGACTGCTTTCAGTGGAGTGTTTGTCAGCAGTGAGCTGTGCTGCTGAAACACCAGTGTGACATTAGGCACGTGTCAGTTTAGACATGTGGGCTCCAGGAGGAACATAGCAGTCATTAATGGTCCGCCATGTTTTTAACTGATGAGGCATTGATCATGAAGAAAAGTCTGGAAACTGTGCCTTCTGGTGAAATGAATAAAGACACCATTTTTTTTTTAGCTTTGAAAAGAATAGGCTTGGTATTGAAGGTTAGGAGTAGGAATAATGTCATTGTCTTCTAACACTTAATGGACTGATGTTGAGGGAGTAGGGATGTTGCTTGTTTTTTGACATGGAGAGCGTTAGGTTTTACAAGTAGAAGTTATAATGAATAGTGTTTTGATTCTGAAAACTGAAAACTTTATTAAAATTATAGATGTTTAGATATTATATAATAATAAATTTCCTTTCACAAGGGGCATTTTGTAGATATCTATCAGATATTTCCATGACAGTCTTTTATGGAATGGACTGGAGAAACTCAGAGACTGTAATTAAATTCTGTAATTTTATTTAAAGAATAATTTTATTTCACTTTATTCATTCATTCATTCATTCATTCATTCATTCTAATTTGACCAGAGAGGGACAGAGTGAGAAAGGGAAAGTGAAAGAGCAAGCCGGCAGGCCCAGGACTTGAACCACAGTTGGCCATATGGGAGTTCAGCACCTTTAACTACCATGCCACCTGCTGGACCCTATGGTGAGATCTTTAGATCCTATCCAGATTTTTTTTTTTTTTTTTTAAAAAAAAATTATTTTGGGCCCAACAAGAAAAAATTATTTTGGGACCAGCAGGTGGTGTAATGGCTATGTCGTTGAACTCCCATGTAGTCAACTGTGGTTTAAGTCCTGGCTTAAACTCATGACGGGTGCATGTGCGTGTGTGCCCAAGATCCCGAGTGGAGAATGGAAGAGAAGGGATTGTGGTGTGGCCATCCCCCCTGGGGGGTGATTTCTCGCTTTCTGTCTCTCTGGCAAGTATACACACCCTATAGCAAAAACCTCTCCAAAAAAAAAAGGGGGGAAGAAAAAACATTTATTTATTTATTTACCTATTTACTTATTTGTTGTGACTTTTCAACTGCCAGGTCCAAGACTCAGAGAGCAATCGGTTCTGTGGAAATCTAGTGCCTTAACCATCATGCTACTTGCTGGTCCTGGTCCTGTCCAGTTTTTTTAAATTGCGTTATTCTCAGTTTTATATATTCAGGATTAAAAATTTGAAAGTGGAGTACTACCCCCAAAATGATGTGGAAAATAAAATCCATTTTTGTTGGAGTCATTATTACATTCTTAGTAAATACTTTTTAAACTATTCTTTTTTTTTAATTGATTAGTAACTAATGTAAACCTCAATATGGCTAGTAGAGTTTATGTATAATTTAGTTCTGTTTCTTTTTTTTTTTTTAAGAATTTTTTTATTTTATTACTACTATTTTTATTTTGACCAGAGAGAGACAGAGGGAAAGTGAAAAAGCAAGCTGCGAGGCCCAGGATTCGAACCATGGCCAGCTATATAGTATCCAGCGCCTTAACCACCATGCCACCTGCCAGCGCCAATTTAGTTCTGTTCTTAAATCAAACTCAGTTTAGTGACAGTCATGCTTAGAGTTTGGCAGACATTTGCTTTTTAACATTGTTTATTTCCAATGTATTTGTTGCTCTGAAATAGATGTTCTTTTATTGTTAGAATGGGAGAGATTATTATGCCTGTGATACTCTGCGTCCTGTTTCCTTGGTTCTCTATGCACTCATTTATTCGACAGATACTTATTGAGTGCCTCCAATGTGTCTGGCTGTGTGCCAGGTACTTGCTGATATCCCTGGTCTGTTCTCTGTCACCACTGTTAACCAACTTCTGGTCAATGGATGAGATGTGTTGTTAGAAGAACTGGGATGGAAGAATTATTGTAGGCAGTTTAAAAACACTCATGGGGGCCGACGGGTGGCATGGTGGTTAAAGGTGCTGGATTGACTGCAGTTCAAGTCCTGGACCTGGCAGACTGCAGTTCAAGTCCTGGACCTGGCAGCTTGGTTTTTCTCTTTACCTTTCTCTCTTTCTCTGGTCAAACTAAAAAATAATAATAATCACAAATAGAATTAAATTAAATTAAAATAATAATCATAAATAGAATTTTTTATTTTATTTATTCATTCATTTATTTTAATTTGACCAGAGAGAGACACACATACATGACACAGAGAGAGAGAGAAAGAGAAAGAGAGAGAAAGTGCAATAGCAAGCCACCATGTCTAAGACTTGAACCATGGTCGGCCATGTAGGAGTGTCCAGCGCCCTAACCACCATGCCACCTGCTTGTCCCCATAAATAATTCCTTTAAAAAAAAATACTATAGGAGACATCTTAATTTTCTTTTCAAAGCTTTCAGAATGTATTTGGATACATAATTTAATAATTAAAATGTATCAAAAAGATACTATCAGATTGTAAAGTGTTAGGATGGAAACATTTTCTGATAAGCTTTTTTTATTGAAGTGTTAACATGCAGTAAAATGCACAGGCATTAAATGAACAGCTTGATGCATATTTATAGAGTGAAGACACCTGTGTTTCTATATCATGCCCCCTCAGCCACCGCTGTACTTACCCCCACTGAAGTAATGACTATTTTGACTTCTATTACTGTCAGTTGGTTTTGTCTAAAAAAATTGGTGAAATCATATAGCATGTACGCTCTGATGTCTGGGATTCCCACCCCCCAGAAGAGTATATGCACTAAGTCTAGGTTGGGGGAAGGAGTGAGAAATCACCTCTCCATAGGGCATGGTCATGCTGCAGTCACTTTTCCATTTCACCCTCCTTTCAGGATTTTGGGCACGCACACACGCCCAGCACATTTCTCAAGGCACCAGGTCTAGGACGTCAACGGTGTGGTCAGTCATGTAGCATCCAGCCGCCTTAACCACCGGCCCAAAGGCTGGCTCATGATGTCTGATTTTGTACCTCAACAACATATGGATAAGAGCCATCCACATGTTGCGTCTAATATCAGTTCATTCTTTTTTTATTGCAGCGTGGTATTTCATGGTGTAGATATATCTTAATTAATTTATCCTCTTTGTACGTTGATGGTCATATGATTGGCTCCAGTTTGGGACCATTATGGATATGCTACTATCAGTAGTCTTTACATGTTTTTTTGTGTGCCTATGGTATAAACCTGGTTGTGGTTTTCCTAAGTCATTGTGTTTGTTTATGCAGATCTTTAATAGATACTGCTGAACGGTTTTCGTGTACTGGCAGTCCTTGAGAGTTCTGGCTCTTCTGTATCCTTGCCAGTACTGGTATCAATATTATCATTATTTCCTTTTTCTTTTCCTAAGAAAAAGGTGGGGACATTATGTTAGGCATATAGGACATCTTTATTGTTGGGTCCCTGGTGGCTCTAGATGTTGGGTACCTTTGTGTACCTGTGTGTGCCTGTGTGCATAGGTCATTTGAATAACCTTTTTCCTGAAGTGCTTGATAGTTTTATTATTCATTTTCTATTAAATGGTCTGTCTTTTGCTTTAATTATTTCATGGAGATAGGTTAAGTCCAGTTCCTTTTTACCACTAGACTTGAAGGAGAAATTTCTACATTTTTTTGTTTGTTTTTGTTAATAGGTCATAGGTATTCCCAGAGAGAGAACAGAAAGAGGGAAAGTGGGAAATCACCCCTCCAGGGGGAATAGCCATGCCAAGTTCCTTCTCCATTCTTCAATTGGAATTTTAGGCATTCATGCGTACACACTCTGCATGATTTTCAAGCCACCAGGTCTGGGACTCAAACTATGGTCTGCCATGTGGGAGTCCAGTGCTTTAACCACCTTGCCACCTGCTGGCCCGCCTACATTGATTTTTTTTTTTTAATGTTAAGCCAATTTCATATTACTGGATTAAATATAACTTAGTTGTGATGAATTTTTCTTTCTTTCTTTCTTTCTTTTTTTTTTTTGAAATTGAGATTTATTGGCTGTGTCAAGGATCAGTACAGACATTTCAATTTGTACCCAGTTCTTAACATACGTACCAAAAATTTAAAAAGCCAAGTATAGTGATTCTTTTTAAGTTATTCCAGTGACATTCCAGCTTCAAATTTGTAGGCAAATTTTCCTTAAGAGGATATCAAGAACCACTGTCTTCAGATGTTGAAAGCTGTTATGTAAGTCCCACCAAATCAAAATTTAGTATCATACACACTACATACTTCAAATTTCCAATCTTTCACAGCACATTAACAGAATTATTAGGAAAACTGGACTACCACGACCAAAGATGTTACAGAGTGCACACAGTTCTGACAGGGAGAGCAACTATCAGAGTGGTTTTCTTTAGGAAACAGTACTACTAGAAAACACAATAGAAGTAATTTAAAATATTCAAGACACATTAAATGCATGACTGTGACTCCAAACTGCCATTTAGTATGCTTTGTATTTAGGATATAAAAACTACCCACCCGCCCCCACCTATGGAATTTTAGGCTGACACGCAAGAGAGTCAAAGCATCCTATAAGTCAATATCCCACTATTTTCTGATTGTACTGAAAAATAAACAACCAGTAAATTATTTCACCTGTTAAAAAAAGCATTTACAGTTAAAAAAAATGGGATGAGGTGGGAATCTCTCCTTCTTAAAAATGTTTCTAGAACTACTAAAAAACTTGCATTTACAAAATAGTTGATAAAAATATTCCTCTGGATTGTACAAGAAGGGAGACCGGGACCATTGATAAGACATGGTGTATGACATTACTCAGACTGGACTTCTTTCTCACCTGCTTCATCAGAGGGTGGACTCTCCTCATTTTTAGTTTCTCCATTTTCTGCAGGTAAATCATCTTTAGTGTCTCGGTTGGCCACTTCAGCCTGTTTCCTCTTTGCTCCCCTTTTCCCTTTTGTTTGTTTGCACTCTTTTGTCTGAAGATTTATCCTTCCCTGCCGCCTTTTTTGGCTTCGTCTCCACTTTTGCAGGAGCAGGTTTAGCCAACAACCTTGCAGATCTCCTCTTGGGCTCTTCCTTGGCCTCCCTTCTTGGGCATCTTGGCTGCAGACAGGGTGCGTGCTGGGTGCCTGATGAGGCCACGTTGCCCCTAGAGCCTTTGCAGAGTTGAACGGATAAACCCTACCCGCATTTTTCTTCTTACATATTGTTGCGTTTAGTTTATTAATATTTTGTTTAGGATTTTATACCTAGTTTCATAAGTAAGATGAACTTGTATTTTCCTTCTCTAACAATGTTTGTCTTAGGCTTTGGTATCAACATATTTTGGCCTCATAAAATGAGTTGGAACTAGAAGAGTTTATGCGGAGCTGGTGACATTTATTAAATGTTTGTTGAAGCCATCTGGTCCTGGAGTTTTTATTGTAGCGAGGTTATTATTAATTATTGATATTGTTTATTTGTTTAGTTGTAGTTTGCTGTAGGGCATGTATGCCTTCTGCAGAGAGAGGGAGAGAGAAAGAAGGTGAGAAATCCCTCCTGCCTTTGGGGCCGGGGTGGCCATATCAAAATCCTTCTCTTGGATTTTGGGCACACATGCATATTCACCTGGCATGTTTTTCAAATCACAAAGTTGGCCATGTGGGATCCAGCTGTCTTAACCTCCCTGACACCTGCGTGTCTGATTTCATTTATTCTTATCTTTAAAATTATTTATTTATTTATTTAATTCCCCTCCCTCCCTCGCTCGCTCGCTCTCTCGCTCTCTCTCTTTCTCTTTTTAAAATTTGACCAGAGACAGAGAAAGAAAGGGAAAGCAAGAAAGCAAGCTGCCAGTTCCAGGATTCAAACCGTCATTGGCCGTGTGGGAATCTAGTGCCCTTAACCTCCCACGCCACCTGCTGGCCCCTTCATTTATTTTTTTAAAGTTTATTTCTTCATTACATAAGAGAAAGGGAGGGAGACAGAGGCGCTTGGGCGCACACACACTCACTCTCATTCAAGCACCGTCAGCATAGTCTGCTGCTGTGATCATTCTCCCACGAAAGACTTCCCATTCATCCAGGGTCATGGATACACATACTCATGCCCACACAGGTCCACCTGGGATCTGAACCCCAATCTTGATATGACTTCTAGCATTGCAGTGTATTGTGCTACCAGTACGCCACCATGACTGGGCCAAAGAATTTACTTCTCTAGCTACTAATAAACTATAGTCTCTGTTGTTTTCTTATGTTAGTTTTGGCATTTTTCTGTTTGACCATTTCATTTAATTTAACAAATTTATTGACAATAACATCTTGTCTTTTTCATGTCTATGAGATCTGTACTGATAATCTTTTTTTTAAATCCAGAAATTTTTCATCTGTCTCTCTTCCCCACCCTTCCTTTTTTCTTTATGAGAGAGAGTGGAAGAGAAAGAGGGGAAGGGAGAGATAGTGATAGGCATTTTCTTTTTTAAGGGAGATTTTTGCTATAGGACACGTGGGCTTGCCGGAGAGACAGAGAGACAAAAAGTGAGAAACCCACCACAATCCCTTCTCCTTCATTCTCCTCTCGGGAATTTGGGCATGCATGCATAAGTTCCTGGCGTGAGTTTTAAGCCACCAGGTCCAGGATTTGAACTGCAGTCTACTGCGGAAGTTCAGTGACATAACCATTACACTATCTGTTCGTCCCGTGATTCTTCTGCCCCACCTTCCCAGTTAGCTAGGACTGCAGGCACATATGCAGTAGCACCTGGCATGTTCGCTTTCACTGGGGACTGAACCTGGGCCTCTTGCTTCCCAAGTGGTGGCGCTGTTTGCGTACTGGCACAGCTGGGCCCATCTCCCATTTTTAACCATCTTTTAACACTGTTAGCGGTTCTTCTAGTTTTTTTTTTTTCTTTTTAAGTAAACAACTTTGGGGATGGCGTTGTAGCATAGCAGATAAACTACGCACAGAGGAAACTGGATCCCACATGGCTGATCAAGGCTCCCGTTATGTTCCCCATGGCTTTGAAAACATGCCAGGCATGCATGAGCATACCCAGGATCCTGGTAGGGTGAAGGATCATACCCATCATACTGGATATGACCAGTAATCAGAGATGTGTTATGTGACTCATCTTTAAATTAATCAGAAAAGTCGAGCAAAACTTTGGGAAAGATTGGTAGGTATCACTTGAAAAGTTAGAAAGTTAATGTTGTTAATGTTGCCCCTATAGCAGGTATGTTGTTCAGCATTCAATAGTTATTACTTCTTTATAGTTAACAATTGCGTCCATTTCAAAATTTTTTTATTTTTGAGAGAGGTTTTTGCTATAGGGCACATGCACTCTCCAGAAAGAGACAGAGAGTAAGAAATCACTCTATTTATTTAATTCCATTTGTTGTTATTAGTATTTTTTAAATTTTTGATCAGAGAGAGAAAGGGAAATCGAGAAAGCAAGCCACCAGGTCTGGGACTCAAACCATGGTTGGCCATGTGAGAATCCAGCGCCTTCAACCACTATGCCACCTGCTGCCCCCATCCCCCCAGATTACTTTTGTCCTGGCTTTCATTTCATTTTTTTTTTTATTGCCACAGGAAGTATGCCCTTATCCAAGAGAGACAGAAAGTTGAGGTAGGCGGAGGAAGAAAGCATCCCTTCAATCTGGGGTGGTCAGTCTGCAATCCCTTTTCCATTTCCCCATCCTGTTGTGATTTTGTTCGTGCATGCAT